AAGACTTGACCGATACTCTTTTTGACCCATCTCAGAAGACTTGACCGATACTCTTTTAGACCCATCTCAGAAGACTTGACCGATACTCTTTTCTCCTACCTGCAAGTTAGACTGCCTCCTACGCCTATTCTCGGATGCAACCATGGCATCCTGAGACTTCTGGATTTGCCGCACAGCTTGCTGCAGCATCTTATCATACTGAACAGCAAACTCTATGCTGCCAGGTGCTGCAGTGGGCTGGTTTTCGGGCAGAGGGAAGTCCTAGGGGGGGAGCGAGGCTTCCAACCAAGGTGAAGCTGGTTGGGAGTCAGACCTGTGGTTCTGTGTACAACCTTGTTGTACAGCGTAATGATGAGAGGCAACTTGTCATCCCAGTCGTCCTGGCTCGGCTTGATGTAGTGCCGTAGCAAGTGCTGCACCACTCGGTTCATTTGATCCACTTGGCCGTTTGACTCAGGATGGTTTCCTGACGTCATCCGCAGTTGGGTGTCCATCTGTTTGGCTGTGCTTTGCCACGACTCGCATGTGAATCGGATGTCTCTATCACTAACAATAGACTTAGGGTGTCCGAAATCACGCACCCAGTTACCCCTGAATAACTTGATGACGTTGTCTGTCTTTGCGGTCTCAGGCATGGCGACTAACCTACCACCTTCCCCCAAATACAGTGTACGGTCATTTTAGCTGTATTCGAGGCATCTTTCAGTCTAGATACAGCTATAAGGACCGTACGTTGTATTCGGGGGAAGAAGGTAGCATACTTACTACATCGGTCCACTACTACGAAGACGCGTCTCCTGCCAGTCTTGCTGGTCACAAGAGTGTCCATGAAGTCCATGGATACACTCTGTCCGGTCCCGCGGGAATAGGCAAGGGCTTGATTAGTTCTAGCGGTGCTTGGGTCCTTGGCTTGTCTCATTGACGAACTTGACGAGGCTCCCTAGTACCACTTCGCGTCTTCGAGCATAGAGGGCCACCAAAGTCGTTGTACTAGGTTTGTGACCAAAGTGACCGGTTGCATCGTGACACTCACCTAGAAACAAACTATGCAAAGACTCGCTCCTGTGCAGAAGGATATAGTAGAGGCTGGAGAAAGAGGCTGGTCCACTTAGTTGCACTATATGATGAGTGTTGTGATGTTGCCTCTGCCTTCACAAGGGATAGTGCTGCTGCCCATTCACTGGTATTCGGTATGCCGGACAGGGCTCATCGACATGTGTTCCAACTCTCACCTCCTGTCCGATGTCTCGATGCAGAGAGGCCCCACATTCATTCTGAACAGAGCAAGTTCTGTCACTCTTGTCGTCAGATGTTGCGTGTGAATTGCATATCGTCCTTCAGCCCTTTGACTCACCTCATTCCCAACCCCTTTAGCTGGAGAAACCAAAGGCTTGGTTTATATCTGTATCGTCGTCTATCTGTCTGTTTTTCTTTCCTGTGTTCCTTTTCAGGCTTCGGCTTTCCAGCAAGAATGATGTAACCAGAGTAGTCCTTATGGCTCTCTGTGAGGCTGTGAGCCTTTTCACATCCATGACAGTAGCTCCTTTCACTGCCGGTCTCATGTTTTCCAAGGGACTGGACTTCTTCAAAGGCATACACGATTCACAGACTACGGAAAAAGACTGTAAACTGTGTTTGAAAAGACCAGCACACACTCACACCTGGCCCACATTTGAGGCCCGTCTTAGCGACAAAGGGACACACTACGAAGAATGGGGCCTTCTCTTTTATGCCATCCCAAAACTACTCCGAGCCCACTGTTAAATCAATCTCCTGCTGTTCTCGCACAAAGTCTTCCCTCCCTTAAAAAATAAAAAAACGAAACAAAAAAAAGGCCCCTTCAATTCTGGGGGGCAACAGTCTGGTTACTTATCCCCGGCAAACATGTTTATACAGAGACATTGGGAGAAAAGAAAAGAGAAAGAGGATCAGCCTAACCCTTGTGGCACTAGCCGACTGAGCAAGAGGGGGCTGCTTCTGTTCACTCCACCCCCAACCCTTTGTCCCTCCACCGTTGATTATCCGATTGGTCGGGGGAGGGTTACTAGCAGCACCCAGACACACAGTACGGTGATCCACTGGGGGGG